ATGTCAAGCCATTGCCCCTGCAGTCAACACCAATCTGATCTAAATAATCTGCCCTCTTTAGAGTGCAGTCTTACTGGTGATACGGAGGTTCTTGCCCTGTAAAAAGTAGGAAAGACTCCAATATTTTTTATTTTTTAAATATAAATCTAAATGGTCAGTCCTCTCTGCTGAATATAATCTACAATCAAACAGGATGTGTGTCGTATCTTCAATAGCTGGGGCGCCACAAATACATAGTCTTTCTTCATATGGGACTCCTTGAAATCAGTCCTCTCTGCTGAATATAATCTACAATCAAACAGGATGTGTGTCGTATCTTCAATAGCTGGGGCGCCACAAATACATAGTCTTTCTTCATATGGGACTCCTTGAAATCTCCCATATCTTACCATAGAGTTTAACTGGTTGAAACGAGCTCTGGTAAAAGCTCTTCTAAGATATTGGGGTAAAGGAGTTGTTAGATACTTTTCTAATTGGAAGACTGGGCCAGCCACTTCAAGGACTTGAGGTGTTTAAGGTGTGCTATATCCTCTTGGGCAGCCACATCCAAAACCCTTTGTTTTAAAACTTTTTTTGGCCTTCACGTCTGATTGTACTGGGAAGTGGGTTGAAAATCCATATTAGGAAATTGTATTGGTAAGTCGGGCTGCCCAAGCACGAGGTCTTTTATTGCTTACACCTTATAGACAGAACCTTGCCAGACTACATCTGTACTACTGCAACTAATGGATATACCCAGGGAGATTCTAGGGAGTGGCTATCCTGAACTTCTTATACTTCCCACACTCCTGCTCCAAACAACTGTGTTGTCTCTTATCTCTTTGCCATTCCCGGAACGTACCCCCTCCTTCCTGATAGCCTTGCTCTCTACTGCAATCCACCATATCACACCACCACCCCAGATATTTTCCATCACAGCGCCTGATTTTCTTCCTCTTCCCCAGGAGTTGATAGAGAAACACCAACAGGAACACATGGAGGCCCTGAGAATCTGTAAAGAGCAGCACGCAGCTGAATTGCAGGTATGGGGGTGGGGGGGAGGACGGCAGATTGTGTATTCCTTCCCAGGCACGAGAGATGACAGAGATTTATTTCATTCCATGCTGTCTGGTGTAAGATTGCCAAACTCTCAGTTAAGGGGTTTTATCTGCTTCTGCCATCTAGGTGTGGTTTAATTGCAGCCAAGATCAGTTGATCTGGATTGGGGCTGATATGAAAAGCGATCTGCTTTCATCTGCAGTGGACTGGTTGTTAAGTCTAATTAATTTCTGGTCCTTTCTGGACACGGTTAATGTATGATAGGGCTGAGGGATCGGTAGGCCTCAGTGTTGCTGATCTTCAACTCCCAGCAGTCTCAGTCAATATGGTTAATGAGGTGAGGGGTACTGGGAATTATAGTTCACAAAATCTGAAGGGCCACAGGTTCTCCACACATACAATTCTAAAAATTGTGCCATAGAGCTTTTTATGAAATTCTGGAAGTAGGACCATCTTCCTCAATGTGAATGAGTGACTTTTTCTGAAATCTTTTTATACCCGCCTTTATCAAATTAGATTCCTGACTGAGTTTACAACTATAGTGGGAAGAATCAGAATTAAAATACAGAGCAGGTAAAATATTTGCTTGGCATCTCACTGATTTTAGATAGACTTCTTTCAGGAAGAAACTCCATAACTGGGTGCTGTAGTCAGAAATACTCTCTTTGTCCTTGATGTCAGCCTCACCTTCGATAGGAGAGTCACTCAGAGAAGGGCTGGAAAGGGACAAACTGCTCAAGTCTTTCACAGTAACACAAGTACAAGCACCTTTTCGTTGAGACCCTTTTACAGTAGGCAGGATGTGAACATTTATTTGTCTGTATCTTATACTCTCTTGGCTGAATTGGACCCCTCTGGGACTAGGCAGGAGCAAGTATCACAAGGGTAAGGAAATGTCCATATTTTTATAGTAGAAATCTCTTCTAGATACCCCCATCATTTTTGGAGAGGCATCCAGGAAAAAGGACCTTCTCGGTTGCGGCTCCCTGCTGTCATCTCTTGCTCAAGCTTTTGAGACCCTTGTTTCACCCTACTGAGCATTTTGTGTTGCATTTGTTATGTTCTGTTTATTTGACATTTTGTTTTATTCTTTCTCTGAAAAGCCCTAAGGGAGGAAAAGCCTAAAAGGCAGTATTAAACTAATAGTAACTATGTAAATGCAGCTTGTCCGGCTAGTGTTGTCTTTGGCTTTCTCCTTAATTAAAAAGAGGCATTCCAGAGGCAGCTGGTAGCAAATGCTTTTGAACTAATACTGCTGAGGAGGAGTTATAATCTACTTTTTATTGTGGTTTTTGCTTTGTTTGGTCTGCAGTGGAATGGGTAGGCAGGCTAATATCAGTCTTCCTCAGCCTTCAGGTATGTTTAGGACTACAGGCCCCAGGGTTCCCAGGCAGCACATAGCTTTTGGCAAAGGCAGTGAATAACCTGTAATTTAAAGGGGACTTTGGAGCTCACCTTAACCTTGTGTGTTGTATTTGTGTAAACTAACTGTGGTGCTGACTTTCCCCACCTGCCAGTGCCAGCCTCACATTATCACTTTTTTGGCCCCAGAAAGAGAGGTGGTACCTGACAAACTGAAATCTGTTTAGCTATTGTGAGTTTTCCCATGATCATCCCTGAACTTCTCCACATGTTTGTGGTAGCAAGGAATGGAAGTGGGGGGAGAAGATAACCAGGACTGTCTTAATAAAAATCATGCCATATTTACCAAAATGTTCACCAGAATTCCTTGAAGACTCCCTGAGGCTTATTTGGATTGTAGAGGAGGGTTGTTGGCCTGAAAATATAGATACATTAGATTGTGACGCCATGTCCAGCAACTCTAATGTTTAACAGTTCTAGCTGTGGACATGGATGAGATACTTGCAGCCAGTGGGCAAAGCAGCAGAGCAGAGCACTTGCAGAGGAGAAATTAGGAATGTGTCAACTAACCCTTCTCCTGCTTTACGCTTTTCCTGTTTACTCCATTGCTGCCCCTTGGGCTCTTTTCACGTTAGCTGTTTTTTCCTCGCTTGACCAGCAGTGATACAGGCAGAGTAGCTACACAGTAGGCTTCATCCATGCAGTTTGTGCTGAAAAGATCCCTTCTCAGCCACTGGCATTTTCCATGTGAGTGGCAAATATGGGAATTGTTTATTTGCCACCAGATGTGCAGTTCTGCCTTTTAACTACTATGCTCCCCTCTCTCCTGGTCCAATTGGGTTGTTTCTTCTGCAGCTAAAAGACCAAGAGGTGGAAGCAACTAAGGAGAAGCTGCGAGAGATTGAAAAAGCCAGGAATGAGCACATGGACGCAGTCAACCGGCTGAAACAGGTGTGTATGCGCTGAGCCTGCCAGCTTCCTCCGGGAGCTGGTGCCTGGCAGCACGCGGTTCCTTGGACCATCTGTTCCCTCTCTTCCTGCCAGGATTTGCCACCTGCTGGATTATGTCTCCTCCTCCGGCGTGGTTGCGGTACACTGGCAGGGCTAGACAGGTGGCACTGTTCCTCTCCAGTTCATGTATTCAGACGAAGGTTTTTGCAGTAGTTCCTGGAGAGTTAAGAATACAGCCTTCCAAACAATGCCATTCCTGGTTTGGTTAGACGGAAACTGATCACTGCTACATCTGAGTGTACAACATCTCATCACATTCAAGAGAATGATTGAATCATAGAACATAAGGCTTAGAAGAGGCCTTGGAAATAATCTAAGCCAGTGTTTCTCAATCTTGGCAGCTTTAAGACGGGTGGACTTCAACTCTCAGAATTCCCCAGCCAGCCACTGATCTAAGCCAACCCCCTGCCTAGTGCGGGAATTCACGATTACAGCAGTGTTTACAATCGGTAAAATACAAAAAGTTTTTGGGAGGGAGGGAGGGAAAGAAGCATATTTTGACACTAGTTTTTAGGCACAAAGCTTTTGTCCATGTTCTTTCAAGTAGGGAGGATGGAAGCAAGTTCTCTATAGCCACTCTTTTTTAGTTGCTAGATGTGGCCAGGTTGGACTCTTGCTTGCTAGGAGAGCAGGAGAGCCGCTTCCCTGTAGCTAATGGCAGATGTCAGAGGTTTGCTTGTGCTGGTCTTTGGTCCAGGAATCCCAGTGCAACTGTTCCGGAATCCCCTTATCCCAGTTTAGACAAGAGGATCGTTGTCAGCCCTTCAAGGTAGGCCAGGTCAGGAAACAGACACCACAGGAAATACCAGAACTCTCATTTATTAATATGGGCTAGCATAACAACATCTTGAAAGCCTGATCACATTTCTCTTTCCTTTCTTCTTATGCCAAAGAGAATCAAGTTGGAGCAATCTTTAGTTTCTTTCTCATATTTTCTTGTTTTCCCAGGCTCGTGCTTTATTAGCAGTTGCTCCATACTTCTCTAAAGTCATCTCTGTGCTTCTCTACAGTTGGTGATAGGACCCTCGCTGTGGTAGACGAGCTGCCCCCAACTGTGAAATATAAGAGTAGCTGAGGGAAAGGAGAAATGAATTCCTAGAATGTGGCAGGGATTAGAGATGAAGCTAGAGGACCTGGAAGAAGACTTGGTGCATTTTTAAAATAATAGTTTCTTTCATAATATGAGCTCAGGACCTTTTTCAGAGTAATAAAAATTCTGCTTCCACTCCACCTCTGGAGTATGAAGATAAGAAAGAGATCCCACCACTTACAGCACAGCAGTTCTACTTTGCAGAGATGAGATGAACTGAGAAGGAAATGATTAGGTGTGTCGCCGTTAACTACATGTGATAGAAATGTAATTTTGACCTACGAAGTGAACAGTCTTGTCTCTTTGGCAGGAAGTGAAAGACACAGTAGATGGGCAACGGATCCTGGAGAAGAAAGGGAGTGCAGCAGTAAGTTGGGGGAATTCTCCAGGGAAATTGGGCGGGGGAGGGGGTTAGGAGTGTGTACCTCATACTTGGTCTTCTGGTTGAGAACCTTGCTATCTTGGCACCCAGCTTGCCATTCTTCGCCTCTCTCTGTTAACTTCTGGGATAATTTTATTGAGGAGCTAGGATATTTTTTTCTCTCTGTCCCATCCCCTTTGCAAAACCTGAAGGAAATGGGAGGCTGAGAATTGCTGGAAGGCTTTAAGATAAGACTGCTAAATTCGAGTCTGCCACCGCCAGTTAAAAAAGAATGTCGGAAACCATCAAGCCCTGTGAAGCTGGCAAACTTGGCAAACAAGAACCATTTGATTTTCTGGAAAGATTTGTATTGCTAGTAGGGTAATGGAACAAACAAACAACTGATAAAGTCCCTTTGCCATGCATTAAATTGCAGTGGAGTCATGTCCACTTATCTTACTCTGCCGAGCTGTATTTCACACTGGCCTGGCTTGTCTCCTCACTTTTGCTGGTTAAAGAATAGAGTGGGCTGCTTGAATAAAGATTTCTCCAGAAGTTGGAAATCAGAGCCATGCTTCCCTGGATGGACAGCATCCTTGTGGTCCTCATGCTATTGGAAAACTTCTTCCTCCCACCCTGAAAAATTGACCTCACTGCTCAGATGCTAAGCTATCCATATATGCTACCAACTGAAGATCACTAAATCATGCTGATCTCTAGCCAATGCCTAATCATGCTGATCTCTAGCCAATGCTGATCTCTAGCCCAATTCCAAAGTCTTCAAAGCTGCCTTGGTTGTAGTGTTGTGATTCTAAGGTTTCCTCATGCCCACCACCCTCCCAACACATGAATGTACTACCTACAGAAATTAAAGTGACATGTGCATAATTCTCATCTTTTTGTGTGGAATAGGTGGTTGTAGTCCTATACTGATGAAAGAGAAATACAGGTAGTCTTCGTTCAGTGACCATTCAAAGTTACAATGGCACTGAGTGAGGAGACTTATGGCCAGTCCTCGAAGTTGTGGCTGTTGCAGCATCCCCATGGTCACATAATCACAATTTGGGCACTTGGCAGCTGGCGCACAATTATGATGGTTGCAGCGTCCTGAATTCACCTGATCGCCATTTGTGATCTTCACTGCTGGCTTCTGACAATCAAAGTCAATGGGAAAGTCAGCAGGAAGTCGCAAGTTGCAGTCATGTGACATTGTACTTAATGACGTGCACAATTCATTTAACGACCACAACCGGAACTGCTGTCGTAAGTTGGCATGGTCATGTGACTTTTTGCTTTATGACCACGTTGCTTAGCAATGGAGCTCCTGGACCCAATTACGGTAGTTAACTGAGGACTACCTGCATTGTGCATATGCTGCATGGCAGGTTTGTTTGCTTACCTTATGCAAAGAGGGCTGAATTGGGGGTCTAACAGCCAGTGGACTAAGCATCAATGAGTGCAGCCTTGATTTCTTCCACATCTCCCTCTTCCCCGCAAACAGTTGAAGGACCTCAAAAGGCAGCTTCATCTGGAAAGGAAGCGAGCGGATAAACTCCAGGAGCGCCTGCAGGAGATCTTGACCAACAGCAAGAGCAGGACAGGTAAGCGATGACCACCAGGGTTGCGGAGGTGAGGGGGAGAGGGAGCAGTGGCTTAGTATGAATAAGAGTTTGTTTCTTCTTTCCCCTCCACTATGTACAGTGTTGTAATTCAGCCAGTGGCTCAGCCCTGAAAACAGTCATTGGGGCCATGAATCTTCACATGCAGGGTTGGCTTCTTATTCTGAATTTTGGTATTGGAAAGGGGCGTATGAGTTTGAGTAACTTCAACTCCGTCAACTCCTTGTCTAGAATCCCTTTAGCACTTAGTAGATTTAGCAAGTACATTTTGCTGATTTCAGTTACGTGCCTACTTTAAGGCATTTTGTCTTCAAAACAAAACTCAACATCCTTCTCTAGTCAATTAATCGATCCATCAATAAATAACTAGCTCTGCATTCCACGGTCTGTATGAATCATGCAAATTAAGTTTAGCTGCATAGTTGACTTGGCAACATTAGATATTTTGCATATTTTGGATTTTTTTTCCCTGGGGGAGCAATAGACAGTTCTATGTATGGACTTCTTGACCACTTGGAGTTTTATTCAGCATTCCTTTTGTTTCACAAATTGACCACAAAAAACAGCATGTTTTTTTTCAAATGTATTTTTGAAACTTTTTGCTTTAAAACACACATTTACACACACATCTCTGTTGGAACTCAGACTCTTGTGGTAAAGGCAGCAAAGTGTCAGCATTTCTTTATCTTTGCTCCCTGTTGAGAAAGAGCAGGCACAATGATCCATCTGCAGGCTGCTGTGAGTTATTTGTGCAATAGTTTGCCAGTAAAATTGCTCATGTTTGCTAAAATCTGAACTCTACATGGGCAGGATGTGAAAGGTTGACTGGGGAATATTCTGTAATGTTATCTCGGATTCATTTTGGCTTCTAGAGTCTAAGGAAGGGTGTAGGATGCATTATGGCATGAGATCCACCACCCATGAAGTGGGCCCCAGCTTTACCTGGTTTTTGGTCTGCTGGGGTATGTGTGTGAGAATAGTTGGGTTCAGGAGGTTGTCAGCACTTCACTGGGGGAAGGGGTGGTACCAGCTGCCTTATAGGTGCAGTACTTCTCCTAAAGAAGCCTTTCCTGGATCCAGCCGTTGGACAGCTTCCACCGCATCTCCAACCTTCCCTTTGTGGGGAAGGTTGTAGAGCAAGCATCAGCTGCAGAATTCAAAAGAAGAAGTAGATTATCTTGACCCCTTTTAGTCTGGATTCAGGCCTGGAAACAGGATGGAAAATGTATCAATTGCTCTGGTGGTGTGATGGAAGGCATGAGCAGGGAAGGTTCTGGAATGGAGCTTCAAGGTTGCCAGGAGG